CTCTTTTTATGAAGTTGGGTGCACCAGAGTTTGGTGAATGTGTGTTCATGATTGTAATATCTTCTTGATTGATTGTTCCTTTGATCAAAATGAAATAGCCCTCTTTGTCTTTTCTGGTTAGTTTCAGTTTAAAGTCTATTTTGTCAGATACTAGAGTTGCAACACCTGCTTTTTTCTTAGTACCATTCCCTTGGTATATTTTTTTCCATCCGTTCATTTTAAGGTAGTACCTGTCCTTGAAAGTGATATGAGTGTCTTGCAGACAACAAAAAGATGGGTTTTGTTTCTTAATCCATTCACATAGTCTGTGTCTTTTGACTGAGGAGCTCAGTCCGTTAATATTTAAAGTTATTAATGAAAGATGGGTATTGAATCCTGTCATTTTTATTTCTGTTTACATTCATGATATAGCTGTACTTTTCCACAGTTATACTTTCATTGAATTTCTTTCTGCAACCCCTTGGGTATAGTCATTCCTTCTTCAGCTCTTTGTATTGCTTCCAGAACCCTCTGAAGGGCTGGTTTTGCGGACATGAATTCCTTCACCCTATTTATGTCATGGAAGATTTTTCTTTCCCCTTCGACTATAATAGACATTTTGGCTGAGTAAAGTAATCTGGGTTGGCATCTGTGGTCATTTAGAACTGGGCATACTTTGAGCCAAGCTCTTCTGGCTTTCATAGATTGCACTGAAAAGTCAGCTGTAATTCTGATGGGTTTTGTGACTTGTTTTTCTTCTTTGTTTTGTACGTGTAGTGTTTTCACTGTGATATGCTGTGGAGAGTTTCTTTTCTCATCCTGTCTGTTGGTGTTCTATAAGATTCTTATATTTTTTATGGGCATGTCTTTTTTTAATTTTGGGAAATTTTCTTCTAGTCCTGTTGAAGATCTGTTCCATACCGTTATCCTGAGAGTCGTCTCCTTCCTGTATGCCTATGATTCCTAAGTTTGTTTTTTTATGGTTTCACACAATTCTTGCATATACCATTCTTGTGTTTTCTTAAATTTTTCATAATCTTTGCTTGAGTGGTCTAGTTCATCCACTTTATCTTCCAGTCTTGATACTCTGTTTTCCATTTCATTCATCCTATTGATGAGGCTTTCCTCTGTCATTTCTAATTGGTTTA